GGGCGGACAGTGCCCAGTGCAGGGCAGCCCAGGAGGGCTGTGGGCCGGCGTGTGGGAGGATGGGGCGGACAGTGCGCAGTGCAGGGCAGCCCACGAGGGCTGTGCGCCGGCGTGTGGGAGGATGGGGCGGGCAGTGCCCAGTGCAGGGCAGCCCACGAGGGCTGTGGGCCGGCGTGTGGGAGGATGGGGCGGACAGTGCGCAGTGCAGGGCAGCCCACGAGGGCTGTGGGCCGGCGTGTGGGAGGATGGGGCGGGCAGTGCCCAGTGCAGGGCAGCCCACGAGGGGTATGCGCGGGCGTGTGGGAGGATGGGGCGGACAGTCCCAGTGCAGGGCAGCCCAGGAGGGCTGTGGGCCGGCGGGTGGGAGGATGGGGCGGACAGTGCCCAGTGCAGGGCAGCCCACGAGGGCTGTGGGCCGGCGTGTGGGAGGATGGGGCGGACAGTGCGCAGTGCAGGGCAGCCCACGAGGGCTGTGGGCCGGCGTGTGGGAGGATGGGGCGGGCAGTGCCCAGTGCAGGGCAGCCCACGAGGGCTGTGGGCCGGCGTGTGGGAGGATGGGGCGGACAGTGCGCAGTGCAGGGCAGCCCACGAGGGCTGTGGGCCGGCGTGTGGGAGGATGGGGCAGACAGTGCGCAGTGCAGGGCAGCCCACGAGGGCTGTGGGCCGGCGGGTAGGAGGATGGAGCGGACAGTCCCAGTGCAGGGCAGCCCAGGAGGGCTGTGGGCCGGCGTGTGGGAGGATGGGGCGGACAGTGCCCAGTGCAGGGCAGCCCACGAGGGCTGTGGGCCGGCGTGTGGGAGGATGGGGCGGACAGTGCGCAGTGCAGGGCAGCCCACGAGGGCTGTGGGCCGGCGTGTGGGAGGATGGGGCGGGCAGTGCCCAGTGCAGGGCAGCCCACGAGGGCTGTGGGCCGGCGTGTGGGAGGATGGAGCGGACAGTGCCCAGTGCAGGGCAGCCCACGAGGGCTGTGAGCTGGCGTGTAGGAGGATGGGGCGGACAGTGCCCAGTGCAGGGCAGCCCACGAGGGCTGTGAGCTGGCGTGTGGGAGGATGGGGCGGACAGTGCCCAGTGCAGGGCAGCCCACGAGGGCTGTGAGCTGGCGTGTAGGAGGATGGGGCGGACAGTGCCCAGTGCAGGGCAGTCCATGAGGGCTGTGCGCGGGCGTGTGGGAGGATGGGACGGGCAGTGCCCAGTGCAGGGCAGCCCACGAGGGCTGTGCGCGGGCGTGTGGGAGGATGGGGCGGACAGTGCCCAGTGCAGGGCAGCCCACGAGGGCTGTGAGCTGGCGTGTAGGAGGATGGGGCGGACAGTGCCCAGTGCAGGGCAGCCCACGAGGGCTGTGCGCGGGCGTGTGGGAGGATGGGGCGGGCAGTGCCCAGTGCAGGGCAGCCCACGAGGGTTATGCGCGGGCATGTGGGAGGATGGGGCGGGCAGTGCCCAGTGCAGGGCAGCCCACGAGGGTTATGCGCCGGCGTGTGGGAGGATGGGGCGGGCAGTGCCCAGTGCAGGGCAGCCACGAGGGCTGTGGGCCGGCGTGTAGGAGGATGGGGCGGACAGTGCCCAGTGCAGGGCAGCCCACGAGGGTTGTGCGCTGGCGTGTGGGAGGATGGGGCGGACAGTCCCAGTGCAGGGCGGCCCAGGAGGGCTGTGGGCCGGCGTGTGTGGGAGGATGGGGCGGGTAGTGCGCAGTGCAGGGCAGCCCACGAGGGCTGTGCGCCGGCGTGTGGGAGGATGGGGCGGGCAGTGCCCAGTGCAGGGCAGCCCACGAGGGCTGTGGGCCGGCGTGTGGGAGGATGGGGCGGGCAGTGCCCAGTGCAGGGCAGCCCACGAGGGCTGTGGGCCGGCGTGTGGGAGGATGGGGCGGGCAGTGCCCAGTGCAGGGCAGCCCACGGGGGGTATGCGCGGGCGTGTAGGAGGATGGGGCGGACAGTCCCAGTGCAGGGCAGCCCACGAGGGCTGTGGGCCGGCGTGTAGGAGGATGGAGCGGACAGTCCCAGTGCAGGGCAGCCCACGAGGGCTGTGCGCCGGCGGGTAGGAGGATGGGGCGGACAGTGCCCAGTGCAGGGCAGCCCACGAGGGTTATGCGCCGGCGGGTAGGAGGATGGGGCGGACAGTGCCCAGTGCAGGGCAGCCCACGAGGGCTGTGGGCCGGCGTGTGGGAGGATGGCGCGGACAGTGCCCAGTGCAGGGCAGCCCACGAGGGTTATGCGCGGGCGGGTGGGAGGATGGGGCGGTCAGGAGAAAGATGAAAGCTGAGGGGCCCAACCCACCTACAAAATACTCATCATAAAGATTCAAAAGATCGCATTTTTTTCCCTTGAGCTCTTCAGATGACACCTGTACGTAAAGATGGTGGTTTTAATTGGCAAGAAGGCATGTCCCTTTGTAAGCGACGGGAAAATAAAAGGGACAGTACTTAAAACCCCTCAAAATTTCTTCAAATCTTATTCCATCCATAAAATTTAGCCAGTGGAAGCAAGATCGGGACATCTGCACACCCCTCCCACACATATACACCTGTGCATTTCAAATCCAAAGCAAGATGCTAAGACTAGGCCGAAAAATAGTCGAAAATAATTCTTACACAAAACGTGCACATCTGAAACACAGACATTATAGAAAATATATTAGAGTATATACTCTGAGTTCTATCACTAATGAATGCAATCCCCCCAAAAAAAGGATTCTCTCTATTCTATAGTCTTCTAACAGCCAGTCCTTCACTAAGTTTCCTCATATGAAAAATCAAGGTCTGTAAACAGAATGAGGCTGGGCCAGAAGCCACTACCCAGTAGAACGTATCACGGGTGGAGAAGTCTGTGAAATAATGTATATACATGAAGCCCTTCCAGAACTCTGGTCCAAGAAATATGTTTTAGGTTTAGCTTCATCATTTTTACACAGGACCTAGGTCGTTATGTAACTGTTCAAATGCCAGTGGGCACCTTAGTCATTTCCAGTGCACTTTCGCCTGCATTGTCCCAAAAGATCCTTGCGGTGGTCCTGGGAGGCACGTCGGAGGAGAACAGATGAGTACCAGAGGTTCATCAAGGTAAACGAGTCAGACGTAATGAAGCCAGAACCAGGAGCTAAAGTGACTGACTCTCAGTCTAGTGCTCTTCTCTTCAGGGAAATGACAGATAGGTTTCCGTCTCACAACAAATGGAATATTCCCTTCATGGTCACCAATCACAGTATTCTGGCAACAGCTTTTTTATTTTTTTTTTTGCAATGTCCTTTAGTCTATCTTTTAGGTCCCTAAAACAGCATAGCTGCTTGCCACTGATCGTTGTCATTAATTCATCTCCTGGGTTAAGGTTCCTTTTTCCAGAATGTGTCCCCTACATGAGCTGGGTTTCTGTCTACTGGCCCGAAGAGAGAGGACCACTTATACCTGGCAACCCACCTCTGGCATGCCACTGTCCTTTATCACCAAACCCAGCACCCGACGTAAGGCCCACGCGGCTTGCTTCCGCTGAACAATCAATCGCCTCCAGAGCTTGCGCTATGAGTGGCACAGCCTCCCACTCGCTGCAGAAACGTTTCCTCTGTCAGCTCTCGGTGAAGGGGTTTCCTGCCCGGAAACGAACGGCGTGTCGTATGGAGCGACTATAAGGTCTCCTTCAGCCCTCCGTCCGTGCTCACAGTGAACCACTGGAAGGAAAGCTAAAGCGAGTCCTGGTGCTGACAGGTGGCAAGCGGTGACTGCCTCCTTTTAAAACCCCCTGTAGAAACGGAGCGTCATGTAGTTGCAAGGGTCTGAAATCCCCAGATACCCCTGCAGATCCTCACGACACTGAAAACATTGAGCCCACAGACGACCTTGTGGTTGTTTTGACAGACTGGCTGAAGTGTGATGCCACCTCATTCAGCCCAGTTGAAGAAAAGGCTGATGAGGTCACAGCACAGGCCTGAGGTCGCCAGTAACCTGACTTCACAGTTCAAAAGAAGTTTGACTGATACAGAGGTGTCCCAGGGCAGCAGTCAACATCCTTTTGCCTAAATGAGTCCTTCAGATCGGAGGGGGACATTCTCTAGGCTAGACTCAGCTGCCGCAGCTACGAGAGTGACCAACAGCCCCTGGAGTCTCCTGGGAAAGACACAATGGTTAACTGACCATTCAGAGCCCAGGAAGGTCACATCAGCAGCTCCTCTCAGAGCTCAGAGCCCAAGCAGTCGGGTGTGAACTCGGATTCCACTTGAGCTCAGAGAATGACTCAAGCCCGAAGTGACCCACGGCAGCTTATAAATGAAGCCCAAAATTCCTAATATTATCAATAACATGGGGTGCGCACAAGATAAATGTAAGTGGCAAAAAAAAGATTTTACTTTTAAGTGTCTTTTAAAATATTTTTTCTTTATTGACTTTAGAGAGAGAGGAAGGGAGGCGAGAGAAATAGAGACATCGATGAGAGAGAACATCAACTGGCCGCCTCCTGCATGCCCCCCACTGGGCATTGGGCCCACAACCTGGGCATGTGCCCTGACAGGGAATCGAACAGGCAACCTCTCGATGCATGAGTCGACGCTCAACCAGTGAACCACACCGGCCAGGCATGATTTTGATTTTAGTTTTTAATGAGCTAAGAAAAGAAGTTGGATTAATAAAAATATTAGTTATCAGCTGTATATTTTGGAAATGGATGCCATTTCTAAAGGTTTACAAGGCTGATTATAAATATTTCAAAGTACACACTATTAATTCAAGCCAATCAATAATATAGCACAAACCTCCAGCTAAACTACCAGAGAGAAGAAATTTATTCACTAGTTTTATTCCCACTAAAATCCATATCCAAAGGTTTGGGATTGATTATAACAAGAAAAACTGTTCTTTTTATCAAAATATTATTTATTACTCAAATATTTCTACAGCAATAACATGTTATGACTCTTTCATTTGTTGAGCAGAAAACAGTACTGACATTACTTGAAAACTTGCTACAAGCCCACAGAAAAGAATCTGACATCATTACACTGTGTTTTCCTTAACTTGACAGGAAGTCAACTTCAAGCAGATTGACCTGAATTGGGATCTCATTTGGGAAGTATAAGTATCCAATAAACTGTATTATTTTTTTATTTTTATTTTTTGGAAACACTCTCGTTCCTGTGGCTTCCGCCCTGTACCTACTTTCTGAACCGCGATCCCACCTGGACTTCCGGTAGGATGAGCAGTGCAAAGAGCTGGCTGGGACTCAGCCTGTCCTTGTGCTTCTGGGGGCTGCTGGACCTTCCCACCAGCGTTCTCTCGAGCACACCACCGCCACCGCCAGGCAAATCAGAAGCACTCCTGTCGGACAAGCCACAGCCCCACTCCCGCACAAAGAGGAGCTGGGTTTGGAACCAGTTTTTTGTTCTGGAAGAGTACACTGGAAGCGACCCTTTGTATGTCGGCAAGGTAAGAACTGCCAGAGACTGTAAATGACCAGGATCCTGAAACTGACATGACCTGGATACAGGAGCTCCCCTAGCCTGTGTCTGAGGCCTGAGAGAAAGTCTAACCAGTGGTGTGGGTCTTGGCAGCTAGCTGAGTCTCATTTTTGCTTTGTCAGATAACCAGTGAGAAAGGAAAGATCTCCCTCCTTGTTCATGCTTCTGTTCTGAGCAGGGGTGCAGGGAGAAGAATGAGGAGTTAGGTTTTAGACGGCAAGCCCGGGCCCCTGCAAGAGCCCTTCAAGTCCCAAGAGGAAGCTGCAGTCTCGGGATGGCAGGATGGGATAAAGAAACGGAATGCAAAGGAGAAACAGAGGCTTTTGCCTTTTTCTTTTTTTCTCCAAAGTATTTGCACAAGTGTTGCCTGAGGCCTAAGTTTAATGGGGTGGGGGGTAATGCATTCTTCATTTCAGAAGACCGCAGCATGTGCTCTACCCTCGAGGAGAGCTGGAGTCAATCAATGAATATATTTACACACTTTATACTTGAACTCCCTTGATATAGCTATCTTTTTATTTTTAATCCAGGCTTTATCCTATGTTTATATTATTTGATTGTTAATCAGAGACCATATTATAAAAGCAACCAAGTGAGAGAAAATGGGAAACAAGAAACTAATTAGAAAATAAATAATTCATTCGAATGATAACTTAAACCCTTGTTTAGCACAAAAGCTAAGAATATGGGTTTCAGAGTCTAACATATGTGGGTTCAAAACCCTGCTCTGCCGACACTTCCAGGGTCACTTTGGACAGATCACTGAGCACCATTAGCCCCTCTGTCTCCAAGTGTCCGGTGGGGGACATGAAAGAACTACCACTTTGCAAGAGTTGTCTATATAAACTCTTTCCTCAACTCCCACCCACTTCTTTTTTTCTTCTTTATTGATTTTAAAGAGAGGGAGAGAGAGAGAGAAACATCGCTGAGTGAGAACATCGACTGGCTACCTCCTGGGGATTTGGCCCACAACCTGGGCACGTGCCCTGACTGGGAATCGAACCGGCGACCTCTTGGTGCCTGGGTCAACGCTCAACCACTGAGCCACACCGGCTGGGCCCACCCACTTCTTAACCCAGTTGTCTGTTTTCTGTGCCCACCACTGCACTGAGGCTGTGTTCCCCATGCTCCTAAGGACCTCCCACTACCAAGCCAGTGGTTTCATTTACGGAACCGCAAAGCAGCCGCCTTTGCCACTTCTTTGCCTCCCTCTGGGCTCACTGTGTTTTCAGGGCTTCGCGGCGTTCACAGTCCCCTCGCCTCTGCTGGTCCTCTCCCTCCACCTGCCCATCACTGACGGTCCATCAGCTCTGGGCTCACTGTGTTCTCAGGACTTCGCGGCGTTCACAGTCCCCTCGCCTCTGCTGGTCCTCTCCCTCCACCTGCCCCATCACTGACGGTCCATCAGCTCTGGGCTCACTGTGTTCTCAGGACTTCGCGGCGTTCACAGTCCCCTCGCCTCTGCTGGTCCTCCCCCTCCACCTGCCCCATCACTGACGGTCCATCAGCTCTGGGCTCACTACGCTTTCAGGACTTCGCGGCGTTCACAGTCCCCTCGCCTCTGCTGGTCCTCTCCCTCCACCTGCCCCATCACTGACGGTCCATCAGCTCTGGGCTCACTGTGTTCTCAGGACTTCGTGGCGTTCACAGTCCCCTCGGCCTCTGCTGGTCCTCTCCCTCCACCTGCCCCATCACTGACGGTCCATCAGCTCTGGGCTCACTGTGTTCTCAGGGCTTCGCGGTGTTCACAGTCCCCTCACCTCTGCTGATCCTCTCCCTCCACCTGCCCCATCACTGACGGTCCATCAGCTCTGGGCTCACTGTGTTCTCAGGGCTTCGCGGCGTTCACAGTCCCCTCGCCTCTGCTGGTCCTCTCCCTCCACCGGCCCATCACTGACGGTCCATCAGCTCTGGGCTCACTGTGTTTTCAGGACTTCGTGGCGTTCACAGTCCCCTCAGCCTCTGCTGGTCCTCTCCCTCCACCTGCCCCATCACTGACGGTCCCATCAGCTCTGGGCTCACTGTGTTCTCAGGGCTTCGCGGCGTTCACAGTCCCCTCGCCTCTGCTGGTCCTCTCCCTCCACCTGCCCCATCACTGACGGTCCCATCAGCTCTGGGCTCACTGTGTTTTCAGGACTTTGCAGCATTCACAGTCCCCTCAGCCTCTGCTGGTCCTCTCCCTCCACCTGCCCCATCACTGACGGTCCCATCAGCTCTGGGCTCACTGTGTTCTCAGGGCTTCGTGGCGTTCACAGTCCCCTCGCCTCTGCTGGTCCTCTCCCTCCACCGGCCCATCACTGACGGTCCATCAGCTCTGGGCTCACTGTGTTTTCAGGGCTTCGCGGCGTTCACAGTCCCCTCGCCTCTGCTGGTCCTCTCCCTCCACCGGCCCATCACTGACGGTCCATCAGCTCTGGGCTCACTGTGTTCTCAGGGCTTCGCGGTGTTCACAGTCCCCTCGCCTCTGCTGGTCCTCTCCCTCCACCTGCCCATCACTGACGGTCCCATCAGCTCTGGGCTCACTGTGTTCTCAGGGCTTCGCGGCGTTCACAGTCCCCTCAGCCTCTGCTGGTCCTCTCCCTCCACCTGCCCATCACTGACGGTCCCATCAGCTCTGGGCTCACTGTGTTCTCAGGGCTTCGCGGCGTTCACAGTCCCCTCGCCTCTGCTGGTCCTCTCCCTCCACCTGCCCATCACTGACGGTCCCATCAGCTCTGGGCTCACTGTGTTCTCAGGGCTTCGCGGCGTTCACAGTCCCCTCAGCCTCTGCTGGTCCTCTCCCTCCACCTGCCCATCACTGACGGTCCCATCAGCTCTGGGCTCACTGTGTTCTCAGGGCTTCGCGGCGTTCACAGTCCCCTCGCCTCTGCTGGTCCTCTCCCTCCACCGGCCCATCACTGACGGTCCATCAGCTCTGGGCTCACTGTGTTTTCAGGGCTTCGTGGCGTTCACAGTCCCCTCGCCTCTGCTGGTCCTCTCCCTCCACCGGCCCATCACTGACGGTCCATCAGCTCTGGGCTCACTGTGTTCTCAGGGCTTCGCGGTGTTCACAGTCCCCTCGCCTCTGCTGGTCCTCTCCCTCCACCTGCCCATCACTGACGGTCCCATCAGCTCTGGGCTCACTGTGTTCTCAGGGCTTCGCGGCGTTCACAGTCCCCTCAGCCTCTGCTGGTCCTCTCCCTCCACCTGCCCCATCACTGACGGTCCATCAGCTCTGGACTCACTGTGTTCTCAGGGCTTCGCGGCGTTCACAGTCCCCTCGCCTCTGCTGGTCCTCTCCCTCCACCTGCCCATCACTGACGGTCCCATCAGCTCTGCCCTGGACTCTCCTCTTCCCACACTCATTCCCGCGGGGTTCACCCCACCCTGCGGTTTTCAACTCCACCCCTGAACGAATGAATCCCAAACCTCCGTCTTTGGCTCAGGCCACTCATCTGAGCTTCAGGCTCACAAACCGACTACATCTCGGACAGCCCCACGTTCATGACTGTCCCCCGTGGGTCCAGCAAAAACTTCTCATTTCCCCAAAACCAACTCTTCCCCTAGTCTTCTCTATACTAGCACCACCACCATCTAGTTCCTACACCAGAGACTGTGACCATTCTTCACTTTGTCGTGCCCCCCATTCTCTCCACCCCCAAATTCTGTCAGTCCTGTGCCAAATCAGTCCCAATGCTTCTCACCTCCACTTCTACCAGCGTCTCTCCCGGCAAACGCCCAGATCAAACCAGTGTCCTCAGTTCTCCCCACACAGTAGCAGTGGGAGTAGCAGGAACGGTACTGGTGCTAACAGGGGCAGTGTTTCCTTGACTTCCCCCTCTGCCTCCCTCCTTTCTCCAGCCCAGTACCACATCCTGCCCATCCTCCCAGGCTCGCCTCACCCTCTCCGGCTCTGCCATCGCTCTGGTCCTGTTCTTCCTGGTCACATTAACCAAGCAGGCGCGGCCTGCCTCCCTGCAGAGAGGCTCCGCCCATCCTCGCCCCAGGACTCGGGACATTTATCTCAAAGCACCATTCCGTCTTCCTGCTCCTCTGATTAAAAAGCACTGGAGAGCTCTTAGCACATAGTTCAAGGACTTTCGGAAAATGACTCCTCCTCCCTTACGATTTCTCTAACCTAGTCCTGATCCCCCTGAGCTGGTGTCCTTCCTGGCCCTGACACGCATACATTTGTCTCCACCCCAGATGTATGTCTAGGCCACGGCCCTGCCTAAGACATGCAGTCACCTCCTCTCCGTTCACTCAGTCAGATTCCTCAGGGCCCAGCTTACCAGCCTCTTCCATCATGAACACATCTTCCACCTACTCAGAATTCCAAGACTTCCAGCTACTCCACAGTCATAAAATTTATGTTTCTTCCAACTACACATACATGGCCACTGCTATAATAACTTTAAGAAAATACCCATGCATGGACACTTTCGAGAAGGGGAGAAACTGAGATGCTACCCCTAGCCTTCCCTATGCCTCCCCCAAACTGAAAACCCAGCACAGAACTGAACACACCCAAATGCAGAAAGACAAGGGGACCTGCCATGGTACTGGGCCACTACAGCCCTACAGGTCAGTCCGTCCACTCATATAGAGATCATCTAATCATAGCAATCTGGGAGGGAAGTATAATTCACCACGTTTCTATAATTAGTCCACAGAACTTGGCTCAGAGGTCATGGTCATTGCCCAAAATTACACAAATGGTAACAGTAAAAGCCCAGATAAAAGGTTCACCGAAGTCTGACAACGAAGCAACAGGCTCTCCTCTGGCTGCCTGCACATGTGCCCGACGTCAGACTCGGCCCTGACAGATGCACAGAAGGGCCATGGGGTTATGGTGGGACCAGGAATCCCACCAAGACCGCCTGCCTCCTGACGCTGGGACTACTTAGCTGAGCAGCAGCTTCCAGTGCTCAGGATCACGCCCACCCGCTCCTAATTACCCGACCCGGGACACAGGACACTCGTGCATCCCTACCGTCACCTTGTCCGGCCAGCACCCCAGCAGCCAGGGCAAGCCTGTACCCTGGACTGGGTGAGCTGCCTCCACAGAAGAGAACGATCTACTCACTCTCCCAGGCCCTTTACCCCTCCATCTTCTGTTTAACGAGAATTCACCTACCTTTCCTACCTTTTGTTCCCGAATTAGCTTGTCACCTTGGGCTCTGGAAGATGTCTGTTTAGAGAGCCTGCCTGCGCATTGCTTAGTTTAGAAGGAGCTTGGCAGCAGTTGCCAGCTGTAGTTGGCATGGCCGCTGGGCGTTCCAGGGACAGGCAGGGTCGGGGTAAAGCTGGATGTACTGACATATGCAGAGAGCTCGCGTCTGCGCGCAAACCGTGGTTCCCAGCCCGCTGGGGGTACTGCGCAGGCTGTCTGCGCACAGACCCAGAGCACGCTGCGTTCCTGGAACTGTGTACACGAGGCCATGCGGGACGGCGAAGGGCTGAAACTCACGCTAGTTTCTACAATGTTACGTCAGCGAAGATATTTCTTAATCTGTGTACTTCCCATCATCCACCACTCCTTTGGCTGAAGACCCTATAGACCGAGGAATGACTGGGCTACGTAGAACATCCACCCATCTTACTCTGCGGGGATGGGAGGGGGGTGTTTTCCCAAGATATACATAACAGTGTGCTGCCGATTCACTCTGGAAGCTCCCTGCCTTCCTCCAGGGAGCCGGTGCTCAGTCAGTGTTAGCTGAATTAAATAGGGATAAATATAAAACACTTTTATTACAGTGCCAATTTGCTGAGTGACCTAGAAAAGCTGTTAATGTCTCTTTGCAATTTTCACAACCAAATGTGTACTCTATGGCTGGTAAACCCTAATGAAAGTCCTATTCCACACACCTGAAAATGATATGTATGGACATTGATACTGATATGTATATTTATATATATGTAAGCACATGCATATGTCTATATTTTTTAATTTAAATATTCCCGAGATCCTTGTCCTCCTCCTCCCTGCTCCATTCCTCTGCCTGGGACACAGTTCCACATGGAAGGATTTTCCTTTCTTTGTGGCCAGGTCAGAATAAAACGGCTTTCTAGTCTACACAATAAAAGCTGGGCACCTCTGCTTTTTTTTTCAATCCTAACTTGAGGATATTTTTCCATCCATCTTCAAATAGAGTGGGAGGGAGGGGGGAGAGAGACAGAGAGAGAGAGAAACATCAATGTGAGAGAGACACATCAACTGGTCACCTCCCGCACGACCCCAACAGGACCAGGGATCAACTGTAACCAAGGCACGTGCCCTTGACCAGAATCAAACCCACGACTCTCTGGTCTGTGGGCCGACACTCAAACCACGGAGCCAAACCGGCCAGGACAACTCTGCTTTTTTAACTGCACAAACAGAAGATTTGGATTGAGAAAAACAATAATACTGGATATGGAATGAGGAAATGTGAGCACTTCAAATTCTAAATAGAAGTTTTTCAGTAGAAAAATGTCCGTGGCAATTTATTTGGTCAATTTTGTCTGCTTATTTCCCTTCCCTAGATAAGACACAGCTGAATTCCTCTAGGCAGCAAAATTACCACCGGATCTGCCTCGAGTCAACCCGAGAGCAGCCCAAAGCCAGCCACGCCCTCCAAACCCACCCTCGTCTGAGGATGCTGTGCAGACACGTTCAGGTGTCTTCCTGGTGTCTGCGCCCTTTACTCCTCAGAGTGACACTGTCCCAGCCATGCGTCAGAGGGCCTTCTGCAGCTTTTACCGCTGGACTGTGCCTTTTAAAAAGCCAACAGGTTGTTTCTGCTGCCTCTGCTACAGTCCTCAAGGTTGGAAGGGAGCAGGGAAGAGCGGGGCAGATTACATCCTTTCTCTATGCACGGATGTCATCGTGTTCATCAGGGCCATTTATAGCGTTCTTATTATGGGAAACATCGTGTTAGGTGCTTTACATACATCAATTTCTAATGATCCCAACGATCCTTCAAAGAAAGCATTCAGACTGTTCTCCACATTTATGTATAATACGAGAAATCTGAGAGTCACAAACAACGATTTGTCAAGGACACTCAATCTATAACTGCACTGCGTTCGGGCCGCAGGTATTTGCCTCTCTGGCCCAAGCCTAGCACTGGTTGTCTGGTTTACAGACTAAACCTCATGAACTTCGTCACCTCACTATGCAAAGTCCTAATGACTCCAGCAACAACAAAGCGAGTGGTGGCTGACTAACTGCAAGTAATTTTTTGCTGCCCCCTTTAGAGGGAGACTATTAATTCTATGTAAGATAAAATTCCAGGGTTCTTGCCACCTACATACGTTGTCTGTAATTAGAGATGCAGAAATTTACTTCTAGGATTAATATGAAAATAGTGCCCCTGGACTCCTTTCAAGAATCATCACAGCCCTGGCCTGTTTTCTCAGTGGTTAGAGCATCGGCCCGCGGACCAATGAGTCTCGGGTTCGATTCTGGTCAAGGGCACGTACCTCAGCTGAGGTTTGTTCCCGGCCCTGCTAGGGTCGTGGGGGAAGCAACCAGTGGATGTGTCTCTGTCACGTTGATATTTCTCTCTGTCTCTGTCTCTCTCCCTCCCTCACACTCTATCTAATGATAAATAAATAAAAATCCTTGGGTAAGGAATAAGAAAAGAAAGAATCATCACAAAGTAACTTGGGAGGAAATACAGTTGGATGAGCATATAAGAGCATGTCCCTCATGCAATCATCCACTGAAAGACCTGAGCGATCCAGTTATGAGACCAAGAACTGGTCTGGTCCACTGGGAAGAGAGACGCACTGCTGCACAGAACAGTGACCCTCAGGCGCCGTCCAGCTGCACACCTCACAGTCCCACCGAGTGACTCCAGAGCTGGGGCCACAGGACGAGAGCACCACAAGCGCCCCCGTCACACAATGTCCAGTGCAGTCGCCATGGCCTACCTATCAATCACTGCATCAGCTTTTCAGCCAACTTAAAATTGTCATAAAATTTTTGAAACTCCAAAACTTCAACACTTATTTTAAAAGGTCTAGTTTGGCTCAGCAGTTAGAGCCCGCGGACCAGAGGGGCCCAAGTTCAGTTCCCGCTAAGGGCACGAACCTCAGCTGCAGTTCGTCCCTGGTCCCGGTTGGGGTCGTGTGGGTGGCAACCAGTCAACGTGTCTCTCTCACATCAATGTTTCTCTCTCTCTCTCTTCTCCCCCACCCCCCAATCTGAAAATACATGCAAAAATGTCCTCAGGTGAGGATAAAAATTTTTAAAAAAGGTCTGGGCTTCTCCATTTTGTAATAGAGAGGATGAGTTCCTCCTTGTTCGACTTGTTCCTATTCTCATGCTGGGACCTATGCTTTCCAGAGTTCATTCCTATTTTCTACGTTTCCCAGGGAAAGAAACTTAAGAAAATAGTTAGTTCAGGATACTAAATGATATATGGAAAAACTTTTATTCATCAACCTGTATTTTCTCTTTGATACAATCATGTTCAATGAATATTAGTTCTTTGTAGACAGACAATTAAAACATTTGAATGAAAAAAAAAATTATTCTTTTTGAAAGGAGGACCCAAAACTGAAAATCTATTTCTGACACCTATTCATTATCCATAATGAGATTTTGGTGCTTTTCCCCAGCTTCATTCAGACATGGACAGGGGGGATGGATCCATCAAATACATCCTCTCGGGAGAAGGCGCAGGCGTTGTGTTCACCATCGACGACACCACGGGGGACATCCACGCCATTCAGAGGCTCGACCGAGAGGAGAGGGCTCAGTACACGCTAAGGGCTCAAGCCCTGGACCGGCGGACAGGCAGGCCGATGGAGCCGGAGTCAGAGTTCATCATCAAAATCCAGGACATCAACGACAATGAGCCCAAGTTCCTGGATGGGCCTTATGTTGCCACTGTGCCAGAAATGTCACCAGTGGGTAAGGTGGAGAGTCACTGATTCTCGTAGAGTAATTCCTCTATAAGGGTCCTCCTGTCTAAACACAGAAAAGGAGAGAAAGTGCAGAACAGCTCACAGATTATAAAACTGAACCAAAAGTGACCACCAAGTCCTTAGGCAGGAAACTGCTTAAACACGGAAATTGGCCATAATAAAAAATAAAAGTAATAATAATCCCAGTGTTGTTATTCTGTTCTAGTTCTTAAGAAACAAAAGATGGATGGATAGATGGATGGATGGATAATGTCTGACTTACAATGGGGAAGCATTTTGGTATAATCAAAAGAGCAATGTTGTCCTTACTGGTTATTAAGAATTTAAAACATAATTCCCATCCCTACTTTCTAGACAGCAGTTATGAAAGCTTGATCTAGAAAGGGACCCTTCCAAGGAAGCAAATATAACACCAGCAAATGCTTTAAGACTGCCCATTCAGGATTGTGTCCAGCTCTTATCAACTCAACCTGAATAGCTTTCCACCATCTCTCTTCCTCAGGGACCTCTGTGATCCAGGTGACAGCCACAGACGCTGATGACCCGACCTACGGCAGCAGTGCCCGGGTAGTGTACAGCATTCTCCAGGGCCAGCCATACTTTTCTGTGGACTCCAAAACAGGTACAGATGCAGCGGTCGAGTCGGGAGCGTTTGCTTTACCCCTAGTAACTTATAACTGCTCCTATGACAGGCCCAACTCTCCTGTCCAGGGGCTCTCCGGGGATTGTATTAACCAGGGAAGATTACAAGCTCTGAGATGAAGAAAGCAAACCAGCACTGCCCTGTGGGTAGAGCAGTGTGGTGCTATGTACAGACAGTGCACAGGGTAGGACTGCAGAGGCCAAACAGCCTGCCCACGCAAACGGCCTGTCTGCACAAAAGTACCTCCTCGTTGGCCTTCAAGAAACCCTGTGGTTTCGCTGACTCCCGGGGTTCTGGTCTTGAGAACTCTAGGCTTAGAGACCTGGGAGGACTGACGGGTTAACCGGGCTCGACGCAGAACCAGAATCACTGATTAGAAACTGGAAAGAGCCTTAGAGGAATCATCTAGTCCGTCACCTTTCACATACTAGATAAGGAAACTGGGAAGTGAGACCTAAAAAGGTGCTTCTATTGTAGACATGTGCCAACATGTGGTCTGACTCTTTCTTCTGACCCAGCCTGCACTGAGCAAAGGGGCGGAATGGATGGATGCTGGCACAGACGGGTTTCCATCAGGGAAGAGAGCACAGAGCAGGGGATGTGCCCCCACACCCCCACATCCCCACAGGCAGATGCTGAGTGGGAAGCTCTATCAGGGCCCATAGCAGAGAGAACTGGGTGGGTAAGGAGCAAGGTGCAGAAAACGACAATCCATGGAAGCTTGGCTCCATTGTTGTTTTCAGTTTTACTTTGGAGCTTGGATTCAAGGATCTGTTCCATCTGTGGGGAATCCCTTTAATACTTCTGCGTTGGGCAGAGCGATGACTACGTCCTTGTTATCTTGCACTTGTGTCAGGCTTTTTCCCTCTTAAAATACTTTCATATTTGAGCCTTCAGACATGCTTGTGAACGCGTGCGATGTAGGGGAGTATTGGTATCCCCCTCTGCACACGGGAGAATTGAAGACCTAAGAGTAATAACAAGGAACTTGGGTAAAGAAACTTCCAGCCACAGAGGTAAAGCCGATGGTGCCTGCTCGAAGTCATCTCTGTACTTGAAAGAGAAAAAATGCATTTCTATTAACAACCTGACAGAATTTCCCCCCAGAAGCCCTCAGGGGAAGCAGGCATTCAGAAAGTCGTATCGTAAAAGTAGAAAGTGAAGGAGTGTAAATCGGGAGGAGGAAGGCGTACAGACTGCAGTTAGGGACTCCGTAAGACAGTCGCCGGAGCAACTCCGAACATGGGGGAGGGATGCGGTGCCCACAGGGAGGAAAGCACAGGCGGGACGAGGGGAACGTGTCCTTTATGTCCTAAGAGGAACCTTACATTATTTTGACAGCTCCCAGAGGGTATCTTTAGTGTTAAGGTCAAAAATACATCAAAAGATAGTTATTGCTGTGCCCATAGGGCATTTTAAAAAAGAAAGAGCTGCACATTTTACTTTAGAATGTTGTTGCTCAAGTGCAGCATTTACAGTATGAGAATCAGACGGGGGAGGGTCTGTGGTCCCAGGCCCTCGCCTTGGCATGAAAAGATCTATTTAGCCAAGGGTCACCTTCTAAACTTGCAGTAAACAAGTCTTGAATCTTTGCCTAGAGTGTATAAAGGTCAACTTTCTAAGTGGAAGGGTTAAAAAATAGAAAAATAAAATAGACAGATAAAACATTACCACACACCCCTGGCAGGATCAAAACGCATTTCACTGGATTTTGATTTGGACCCCGCTTCCCGAAACGGAATGAGCCCGCTGCTGCCTGCTGTCTGGGGGAGTTCGCTCCTCGTGCACGTCCCAGACAAACCACTCACGGCAGCGCCCATGGCCTAGCTCATGGGATTCAGTGAAGCATAGACATTAGCAGTGCCTAACAAAACAGAATGAATATACAACAAAAGAAAAATCAAATCAGAATTCCAATCCTGCTTACAGGTATCTCGGAGGCAGGACAAAGCAGTGAGGGCCCTAAGGAGAATCAGTCACTCTACAAGGGCTCTAAGGGGCTGAAGAAGACTTGATCTAAAATCACGGATTTGCAACACAGGAAGCTCTGCTTTCTGGGCCCTCCATGCAGTTTCCTTGCAACGGTTCTCAACCTGTGGCTCGCGACCCCTTTGAGGGGCAAACAACCCTTTCACGGGGATCGCCTAAGACATAACAGTAGCAAAATTACAGTTATGAAGTAGCAACGAAAATAATGTTATCGTTGGAGGTCACCACACATGAGAAACGGTATTAAAGGGTCCCGGCATTAGGAAGATTGAGAACCACTGCTTAGTGAGACAGGGCAGCAGGACATCCGAGGCCTGCTAGCCCCAGGCCTGCTAGAGAACCGTTGCTGCCACCTCCTGTTCTCTCTGAGTAATGCGGCCTGAGGAAATCAGCCCTCTGCTCTTCGCACTGAAACTGCATTTACTCACCATTTACGTAAGCACAGCACGTTTTTGAAGCTGGGATTCTGACCTCAAGTTTAATAAAATACAGGTGACTTGCGTTCAACTCTAGGTATTAACAATGCACAAGGGAGAAACCTAGAACCCAATCTTAAAAATGGGGTTTGACGTTTTGTTTTTAAAGCCAAGCCGTTCCTATCCTGCAGGTGTAATTAGGACGGCACTCACGAACATGGACCGAGAGGCCAAAGAATACTACGAGGTGCTTATCCAGGCCAAGGACATGGGAGGGCAGCTTGGAGGATTGTCTGGGACCACGACAGTCAACATCACCCTCTCGGATGTCAACGATAACCCGCCCCGCTTTCCCCAGAGTGAGTATCTACCCAGTGATTGCAGGTTCTCCGGCCAGGGGTCCCCGTTAGAGAGATGTTCCTCCTTAAGTTCGGTTTTCCTGACTGCTGTCCTACACCTACCACGCAATGCTCCAGAACCATTTCCCCGGGTCCCACAGCCCTAAGCAGCACCTCCCTCGGAGTTCCTTGAGACTTCTCTCCCTGATCGCCATGCCCTGCCCCCCTTCATAACATTAAACATTAAGTACTAAGATTTTGTTGGGTAATGTTGCACTTTAGAGAGCCACAAACCATTGTAATATCTAAGCTTCTTTTCACCTCTCCCCCAACAAGAACCAATTTTTGCCCCCTAGGGGGCGATACTGCCCCTGCAGAGAATGCACACAGGGCAACTAAACCAAAGCAGTGACCCACCTCACCACCTTACCAATCGATTCACAAGCAGGTATGAAGCACCTGCTCTGTGCAGGCACTGGATGAGGGGCACAAGATGCTTGAAACCAAAGCCCGGACCCTGGGAAAGTGTATATTGTACTCCATGTTCATCAGAAGTTAACCAAGAAGCAGGATTTGCTGAACCACTTGGTTAGAACAGAATGAAGCCTTCACAATAAACATAATGAATGAAGGCTTCATGAAAGGATGAGACTTCAACAGGGGACTGAAGAATATAAAGCATTTACATGGGCAGAAAGAATATTCCAGAAGAGGGAAGCCACTCATTCATTTGAAACTATTTGTTGTAGGCACCATTTTAGGTACGGGATATAGAACAGAACACAAAACAAATGAAATCTGCTCTCCTAGAGCTCATTCGAGTAGAAACCTTAATGTAAGAAAAAAGTGTATACATAAAGACCTGGAAATAAAGTGGCAAGTATAATTTTACGTTTAATGAAATACAGACCTGTCTTTAGTGTTTCAGATGTGTCATTATGTCTAATGGAAGTCACTGAACAGTCTCTGAGCAAGGGACACACATGAAAGAAAGTCTAGTTAGCGAGCCACGTGTGGGGCTGGCGGGGCTGTACCGGGAAGCAGGGAGCGAGGAGCCCCAACAGTGGTCCAGCCCTGAACTAATCAGGACGTAAGGAAATGGCGGGAGTGGACTGAGGCAGAGAAGAAAACATGGATTTTTGCTTCTTGATTTCTTGGCTAAGGGAACCAGGTGGAGGGTAGGGTCAAAGGGGACAGTGACTGGGTGACAGGGAGAAGAACTGTACTACTGATAAAAACAGAGGACGCATAACAATGGAACTAGAGTCAGGGAGTGAGGAAGACAAATTCAGATTTGAATATGAAGCGGCAGCAGGACAATCAGATGAAATGTCCTCAAGAGGAGTGGACACATGAAGCTGTGATGTGGGACGGAGCCCGGGATGGAGACAGGACGCTGAGCAGCAGGTGCCTAACGGGAGCAGCTGGAAAGGGAAGAGCAGCAGACACAACCCCAGCTGAAAAGACAGCTGAAGTAAAACCAGACTCAAGCCTGGCTCCCAGGGGAATGGCTACCCTGAGTCAGCCAGCCCAAGTGTACCATCTCGTTCATCGATGTGAACACAGCCAGGGAGCTCAAATATTTAGCTACAACTGGTATCCACAAAGTCCCCATGAGATTTCATGAAACAAAAAAAAGCAGAATACCAGATAAGAGGTTGTATGTATGTTTGTTTAAACATAGGACACATGGCTTTCCTGGTGTGGAGAACATTGTAGGCAGATTCTTGCTTGTTTTTCCCAAAAGTTCTGCAACAGCAAAGTCAAATCCATCAACAACTTTGGAAGGGACTGGGAAGAGATCAGCAATCCAAGTGCCTGCCAGCGTGGTACAGGCATTAGCAACATCCTGGCTTATATTGGCAACAGACAAGCATCCTTTCTTCTCCTGTGCAGGGAGGGTGCTCTGAGCTGGCTGGGTGCTGTCAGCCTCCCCAGATCTTTGTGAAATCAATCAAGCCCTCACATCCCAGGCTTCCTGTAGCTTGTAATGCATATTAGAATAAAAGAGACCATTTTTGACAATGTGATTGTGTGATTTTCTTTGTTAGTCAGTCACATTATGATTGACAAAATAATGAAAAAGTTGAGCCCCGAGAAGGTAAGCTAGTAAGGATACAACTCCATGGAGATGAAAATAAACTAAACTGCACTGTGGATTCAGGGTATCAGGCTGAAAAGAAGAACATTACAAGCTCTGAGTATCTCACGGAGGTGAGGACTCTGGGGGTGTTCCATGCTCAAACAAGAGGACAGGGGGAATCAGAGGCCTGTCCGTGAGGAGGCCTTCAGGTGGCAGTCCCAGATGCAAGGACACATGGACAGTAACACATGGAGCTGGCGGAGCTTGCTCTCCGCTGCAGTTCCTCCTTTACAGATCACTGGTCACCAGGAAACTTGAACAGCTGGTCAGAGATGGATCCTCAGGACACTGGCCAGGCCATGAAAGAAAATGCAGGCATTTGAAATGTGAACAGAACAGATATGCACTTCATGACCACAATGTTTTTCTGTCTTTCTCAGAAGGAATTAACACTTGAGGAAGTAGTTCATTAGGAAGGACTGAAAGATTGGAAAGCAAGGTACTTCCTGCCACTCTGAAGGTAGATTCACTGAGAGAAGAAATATTTTTGTTTTTGTCCTAGCCACTCTTAGGATTACGATCAAGCTGCTTTGGCCCCTCCTTACACACGTCCAGTACAGTCTATGACATACCATTTGCTCAGCCTCTTCGGATCTCGGTTTTCGTCTTTAAAACTCAAGTTTGAATTGCTGAACCAGGACAGAGATGTTTAGCACAGCATGCCTTATATGACGTGATACTGAGGAGGGATTTTTTATAGTGGCAGCTTACAAGACTGTATGTTCTGACCTTTCTTCACAGAACATTATCAGATGAGTGTGCTGGAATCGGCTCCCATCAGCTCCACCGTGGGGAGAGTGTTTGCCAAGGACTTGGACGAAGGAATCAACGCAGAGATGAAGTACACTATCGTGGATGGAGATGGTGCAGATGCCTTTGACATTAACACAGATCCCAATTTCCAAGTCGGCACCATAACTGTGAAGAAGGTAACTCAAGCCATTTAAATGGAGTCTTTGAATGTACATGACGTGTTAGTAAGGGCTGCTGTACCATTAATATGTAGTGCTTCAAATCCTACAAAAAGCACCCTTTTCTACCATTTGAAAAACTCTTGCTCCTTTTTCTTATGTGTAAACACTGGCTGTGTCCTCATTTTACAGAGAGGGTATAAGGTCATGATAAAAGTGAATCACAAATATATCATTTCTCCTAGCTCACTATTTAGCCACTTAAAAAACTGTTATAGCTTAATTCCCTAATGATGTTAATGACTTAATCAATATTTGCACTTGAATAACTCATTTTTTACCATAGTATGCCATAAATAACAATATAGAAATACTGTGACAGTATTTATGAATCAATAAATAACATGTAGGGCCCTGGCCAGTTTGGTTCAGTGGTTAGAGCATCGGCCTGTGGTCCAGAGAGACCTGGGCTCGGTTCCCGCTAAGGGCACATACCTCGGTTGCAGTCTGTCCCCGGCCCTGGTTGGGTCATGTGGGAGGCAGCCACTTAATGTGTCCCTTTCACATCAATGTTTCTCTCTCTCTCCCTCCCACTCTATCTGAACAAAAAAAATGTCCTTGGGTGAGGATAAAAAATAAATAAATAACATGTAGGGATTTTTCAATTGCTACTTAAAGATCCACAGATGCTCATTAGACCTGGAAAAGCTTTATCAAACATAGCTGCAAAGTGAGATTAGCATTTGAAACTCCTTTGCTACATGTTAAGTCACCAAGTTTTCTGAATATAAGCTACTGATATTTTGGGTGTGTGGTATAACTCACATATGGATGGGTACCTTAAGGTGAAAAATAAAACTTCTTTAAAAAACAAAGTTTCAATTATCTTAGTAAATATATATATGAGGAAACACATCAATAATATATATGTGAGCAAATACATTAATGCAAAAACTCATTGATTTAATCTTCCTTCTCTTCTACTTTAAATACATTTAAAAACCCATGATATCTCAAGTTATTTAATCAACAAATATTTGTTGAGTGTCTACCTGTGGGCCAGTTACTACTCTAGGCATTTAATGTAGAGCAAATAAAATAGCCAAAAATCTCTGCCCTCATGGAGCTTACATTCTAGAAAGAGGAAGACGATGATAAAATAGCAAGTAAGTCGATAAAGTAATATATTAGAGCCCTGGCCGGTTTGGCTCAGCGGTTAGAGCATCGGCCTGCGGTCCTGAGAGACCCGGGTTCAGTTCCCGCTAAGAGCGTGTACCTCTGTTGCAGTATGTCCCCGGCCCTGGTCGGTTGTGCGGGTGGCAGCCACTCGATGTGTCCCTTTCACATCAATGTTTCTCTCTCTCTCTCTGTTCCTCTCTCTCCCTCCCACTCTACCTGAACAAAAAAATGGAAAAATGTCCTCGGGTGAGGATAAAAAAAATAAAATAAAAAAGTAATATATTAGAAAGTGGTAAGTGCCTGGGGGAGTGGTAAAGAGCACAACAGTGGTATCAGAAGAACCAAAATGACTTCGGATTTAAGTTGGGTGGTGGGATTGGCCTCGCAGAGAGTGATGTTTATGCGAAGTCTTATGTAAGGGGGCAGAGTCACAGCATCAAGTTGGGCTGGTTGACAAAACACAACCCTGGGAGGTATCCTAATATGACTTTTGGTGAGAACTGTACATGGCAGCCCAGGAGATGAGGAAATGGGCATGGAAAGGGGACAGCCAGTGCCAAGGCCTTGAGGTAGGATTTTTCCTGGTTTGGTCCAAGAACAAGGAGTTGAGAAGACTGAGTGGAGGGGAAGACTAGTAGAAAATGAAAATATTCAGAAAAGTAACCAGAGGGCCAGACTGTGTAAGACTTTATAGGCCGATGTGAAGAAACTAGGTCTTACTCTGAGAAAAGTGGGAACAGATGGAGGACTTGAACAAATGTGTGATGTGACTGGACTTCTTTTAGAAACAAATTATTCTGTAGGTTCTGTTGAGAAAAAACCACAGGGGCAAGGATGGGAACAGAGAGACCAACTGAAAGGCCACTTACATGGGAGGTGATGGTGGCCTGGCCTAGGACGGCAGGACTGGAGGTGGTGAGAAGCAGTGACAATCTGAATATAATTTGAAGGTAGAGCCAAGACGATTTCCTAACAGCCTGGATTCGCATTTGAAAGAAAGAGAGCAGTCAACTGAGTAACAAGAGGAATAAAGCTGCCATTAACTGAAATGGGAAGTCTACAAGTGGAGAAGGAGGTACTGGGTGGCAAATTTGGGGGTTCAGTTATAACCACGTTACACTTGCAGTGTCTATTAGACGCCCGGGGGGAGATGTGTAGTAGCTGTTGGTTATAGGAGTCTGGATTTTGGAGAAGAGTCCCGGGCTGGAAATATAAATTTGAGAGTTATATGCAGAGAGATGGTACTTAAAGAAAACAAAACAGGATGCTATTCCAAGGGACTGAGCACAGAGGGAGAAGACAGTGAAATGCAGCCTGCAGCACCCCCACATGGTGAGGCGAGGGAGAAGAGCAAAGACAAGCAAGGAGACTGAGAAGGAGAGACCAGGGGGGAAGGAGGACAATTAAGGGAGTGTGCTGCCCTGGAAGGCATGAAGAAACTGCTCCCAGAGAGGGCAATGACCGCCTGTGACCAGTGCCTCCGTGTCTGTAAAAACACTAAACGTTAACCACAGACATTAGGGACAGGGAGGACCTTGACAAAAGCAACAAAGTCATAACTTACAATATGGCACCAGTGAATGTGTTTAATAATTTTATTCTATGTTGTTCCATAGAGTTGAATTAATGCTTCTTTAGAGGGAATGAGTTCATGTTTGTCCTGTTTTATACAAGGTGCACTCAAACACAGCAAAAGAACAAGTACATCCAGCATCCATCAATCGGAAGTCTTTACAACCAGCACACAATGACTTCAAAACAGTGCAAAATGCTGAGATTAACTTCAGAATCACCAAATAAACCTGTATTGCAGTTTCTTATTTTATTCTTATTCTTTGAGAATTAATAACATATGCTAGAATTATAAAAGATGAGTAGAAATAACACCAATTTACCATATGACATAAGATTAAGAACAATACATAGTATGACTCAAGTTAACAGTTAATAATACATCACTTATCGTGACTCATAACTGTAAACAAAGTAAATGCTCAAAGTTTTTAATAATTGTGGATTCTTACAAGCAAAAATTCCCTTTAAAAATTAAGCAATCAGAAAAAGGGCTTTGGGCCCTGGCCAGTTTGGCTCAGCCATTAGAGCCTGTGGACCGAAGGGTCACAGACTCAATTTCCAGTCAGGGGCATGAACCTAGGTTGCAGGTTCGATGCCTTGCCCCAGTTGGGGTCATTCGGGAAGCAACCAATCAATGTGCCTCTCTCACATCAGTGTTTCTCTCTCTCTCCCCCTCCCTTCCTTCCATTTTCTCTAAAAATTAGTGGAAAAATATCTTCGGGTGAGGATTAACAAAAAAAAAGAAAAGGGCTTTGGAATTCCCAATACATTTCAAATTTGTAGCTTAAAATAATATAAAAGATAATTCTAAATAATGTACTAGTATTAACTGATGTCAAATTATTAGAATATAGCCTACCTTATTACAAGACATTCATTTAAAAATATTAACTATTTTAATTTTGTATCTGAAAGGAACCTCCAGCTCCCTTACCTGGAGAAAAGATGAAACTTCACAAAACAGAACCCTGGCTTTCATCATCATTACTAAAACTATAGCCATGTTTAATCAAAACAGGTATTAGTTCTGCCAACGTCCTTTGTATTTCTCTTCTCGACTTATGATATGACAGGAAACGGAATTAAGAAAGGGGTCACTAAGAGGGTAGACGGAGAAGTCAAACACCACAAATGCTTTATAGGCTACTGACTGCTCAGGCCATACGTCTGGAGCAACATCCACTCAGATGCCTGATCCACACCCATCTTCCTCCTCTGTCATTGCTAATGTTGTATAAAATAGAAACAAAGTTCTGCTTTTGATGTATTTCCCTAAGGCCTATTATTCATCTAAAAAGCACATACTTTTTCAAAAATGAAATTAAGCTGAATTGATAGAATTGGGTCTTCATAAAAGCATGCTGATTATTACCCAGTACCTTGGGTCTTTTGGCTTTTAAGTAATCAATCAAATGATTTTCAGTCTCTTCAATACTTGAAATATATATTTTTCAGAATATCCTTTATTCTGTGAGCATGCTGTTATGCCATTGTCCAGTCGCTGGCACGTCTCCCATCTGCCAGCATACAATAAACAATAGTTTTGGGTCCATTGTCCTCTTAAGTAGGCCACAAAGAACAAAACTCCTACAGTTCATCAAACCTAAGATGTCCATGACCCATCACTGTTGATGTACTACTTTTTAAAAACCTCTTGCCAATTTCAATGATACAATGCTCTCTCAGTCCTTCTAGTTTCTGAACAAGCTCTTGCAGACACATACATATTTGCTTCACTAATCATAATTACTCCCTGCTCTTGTTTCTGTGACATTCTGTCTATACAACTTTTGTTTCAATTTTGAATCATACTGCAATCTTTCTGAAGACATTTTAGAACGCAAAAAAGTTCAACACATGTATACCAACATTGTGCAGAACTCAACTGAAGTACATGCAACGTGAACAGCTTCCACCAGGTTTGATTTTGATTTACACAAACAGACAAGTGCATCCTATGCCCCACTGGGCCTAAAGGTACCCTCAACTGGACAAGCAACCCTGTTTACAAAATGTCAAAACAGGAAGAAATGTACACCTTAGAATCAATGAAATTTGGTAACATAAAAAATACATATTATCACTCAACCAGTCTTTAATACTCCCATTGAAAAACTTGTTTGCGCACTGGCTAATTTGGCTCAGTGGTTAAAGCGTCGGCCCGTGGACCAGAGAGTCCTGGGTTTGGTTCCCACTAAGAGCATGTACCTCAGTTGCAGTTTGTCCCTGGCCCCAGTTGGTGTGTCTCACTCACATCAATGTTT